GGTCCCAGTCCGGTACGGGCGTGACACTGAGGGTTGCGATCCGTTGCCGGACACGAAAAAAGACAAAAAGGAAAAAAAAAAAAAGTTATTGCTTCAAAAAGATTAAAGCAGAGAGGGCACACTGGCTTTTTAAGTTGGCTTACGTGTTTTTGCACGTGGCTTCCCTACCCACTTCTCCCTGTGTGGCTTCCACAGGAATGTGAATCTGTGACTCCTGCGTTAAGTCTTGATTTTAATTGTGAATTCTACAAGGATAAAAGAAAGTCTAAAAAGCAACTGCCATAACTAATATATACCTTGCTTCCCCCCAAAATATTCTGTCAAAAACCAAAAAGAAAACTCCCCCAAGCTGCTGTGATAAAATGGGTGAGTGGAGAAATCCCAAACAGGAAGGCCCTCGGCAGCTGAACAGGAGAATCTCGACTCTAGTAAAGTTCAAAAAAAGTTTGTCCTTAAAGAGAGCAGGGACTAGAATCTGCAGTACTCTCAGTATGGGCAACAGTGAAAACACGGGAACAAAGCAAGCTGCTGTGATAAAATGGGTTAGTGTAGAAATCCCAAACAGGAAGGCCCTCGGCAGCTGAACAGGAGAATCTCGACTCTAGTTGTAAAGTTAAAAAAAGTTTGTCCTTAAAGAAAGCAGGGACTAGAATCTGCAGTACTCTCAGTATGGGCAACAGTGAAAACACGGGAACAAAGCCACCGTTCCCAGGATGCCCTTTGCTCTCTCCTCGGGGGACAGCACTTCCCACTGTCCACCCGCTGTCCACGCCTGAGACACAAATGTCCCCCTCGGCCCATGCTCCCATCTCCTGCATTAGTCCCGTAGCTGAGATCTTCTCTGGCCCGACCGCTGTTTCCCCGCCCACTGCCACCACCCGGGCTGGGGCTGCCATAACTCGTGTGCAGCCAGCGTCACCCGTCCGTCCACCTCCTGTCTCACCCCCTCCCTCTTCCAGCCACACTGAACTTCTCTCTCTCCCTGGAATCGCTCACGCTGTTCCTTACTCCTGGATCTTCAAGTACACTTCTGATGCCTGGAAACCGACACAGGACAAGTCACAGAGTTGCTTCCAGTGCTGGCCAGAGTAGAGTCTTAACATTTTTTATTTCTGTCCACTGTTCTAAGACACTGTAATGCTATCTTCCTTAATATTAATTTTTAATGCCCAGAATAATCTCCAATCTCTGTGTCATCAAAGCCAATAAGGCCAGTAATATATTTTTTTTGTACTTATAGAAAATTGAGAGTAAAGGAGGGTGGTAGCCCTCGGTTGTATGTGAAGAACTCCCAGGCAGCTAGAACTGTCTCCAGGGAGAAGAGCACTTTGAAAATTCAAATACGAGTGGAGTGCAACACATTTTGGAGAGTACTGTACAATCCTAGAAACCAGAGCTCGAACACGAGAACACAGACTCTACTCATCATAACCAAACCCTCTAATTATACTGTTCCAGTTGCACAATCAAAACTTCAAAGCCATGGGAGCTGAGAGGGGACTCAGCACAGGAACGGGAAGGAAAACGAGGCTTCATTTAATGCGCTCGATAGTCTTATATCCCTATCAGCAACTGCAACTTTACTAGCATTTTTTACTCCTTAATTTTTCAACCCTATGCAAAGAATTTTCCACCCATAGTAGCTGCAGGCAGAGCCACCTGAACTTCAGGGGTGGATGGGTAGAAGCTTCTGTGGGTCACTCCTGGGGAGAGTTAACTCTGTGAAGTTCAGTTTCTACCTCCCACGGCCCGTGTTTCAATGACCATCCCCAAGCAAAGCCATGAGATGTCACAGCAGACAGCTGCACTCGGGGGGAAGTGGACTTCCCCATCCCGTGTGACTTTTCAGACTGGGGAGCCCCTCGGGGTGTGTCCTGCAGAGGATGCACGGGCCTCCCATGGCCGGTGGCCCCCTCTACCGCAGAGAGACTGAAACACATGGCTTTCCATAGAGAAACGATGACAGCTGTCACAGTGAAAATGCAGACCCTCTGACCCAGTCATCCTACTTCTAATTGTCTGTACTTGTGCAAACGTGCGCACACACAGACGAACATTTACTGTAAATCTCAGCTACGGGTCTTTAGTTAGGCTTAGTGATGCTATCCACATTTCAGACAGTAATAACACTGACCATTCACTAATAACGTCATGTTAATGTTGTTAAAAATAGTTTAGCCTCTTGGGCATGAGCAGGAATTCAATGACTATGGGTTATGTGACATCAGACAGCAGGTGCAGGGAAGAAAAGATGGTATCATACCTCCTCCTCCAGGATGTCACAAGCCAAATGGATGCGGGACACGTCCACTCGATGGGGCTCCGATTTCAACTTCTTGGATCGTAAGCTCCAGAGTTTTATACAGGAGTTGTCAAACCCAGCAGCCAGCAGCTTGCTATCGGGGGAGATCTCTGCAGTGTTCAGCAGCTGCTCTGTGTTGTAGAAGGCATAGAAGCAGATGGTGGTGAGGGACGGAGGCCCGTCCTTGACACGCTTAATGCTCTCCTGCAAGACCTCCAGGGCGGCCTCGTTCTGCAGGATGGGGCTGGGCACGTCGGGGGGCTCCAGGCCACTGCTCTCGCTGCGGGAGGAGCTGCCGCTGGCGTAGAGCTGGTAGTCTGTTCTCTTGGCAGGTTGCACGTCCAGGTGGACGTGCAAGGTGAGGACTCTGCACAGGGCAGTGTTGTTGTCGCTCTGGAGGTAGCGGACCAGGTAGTTGTAGCTGTCTTCCTGGAGACGAACCACGTACTTGTTGTCTAGGAACGCGCGAAGCCTGGAGTTCGACAGGATGTCCTGAATGGTCTGAGTGGTCTGCAGCTGCTCGATGACGTCCTTCTGGCTGGCGTTCTGCAGGAACATCCCGTGGAAGCGGCTGTAGAAACTCTCCACGGTGCTCTTGGGACTGTTCTGGACCAGGTGGAGATGGAGGTAGACAAAGAGAGGGTAGAGGAGAGGCATGACCTCGTGCCTGTGCTGGGAATCAGAATCTACAATGGAGAAAAGCAAGGGCTTTACAACCAGCATCACTCACAGGGCAGCGGGACCCTCCCGGGGACCCACCATCACGTACCCCTTCTCCTGACTGAGGGGGAACAGCGTGCACTGACAAGTCCAGAGCCTGGGCTTGAAGCCACCATTCAGGAATACGTGACTCGCCTGAGTCCCCAGTACACTTGTGTTTCTCAAACTGGGGACCTCAGACCTCTGAGGGTCCTTAGGTGTATTCTTGGGAGACTGAGCTCTTCACAAAAACTTAACATGATGATAACCTAAAAACCAGCGAGTTCACGTGTATTCAGATTGTCTGGATGTCCACCTGGCGAGTAAGAACTGACAGCGACTTTAAAGCTCTGGGCTGTGTTTTGTGATTGCATCTGGTGTCCGTCGCCTGAAGCGAATCAAAGCGCTGACACATGTCACCCTGACACTGAGAGGACAACATCCATCCACAACTGTCCCATTTGATCATGTTGGTTAAAAAGTAAAACTTTCTTGCAGCGATAACTTACAAACAAAATATTTTCATGTCATGAAGACTAAACTACGTCCTGATTAGAGATTTTAACACCATGAAACTATGTGACAAAGAATGTTCAAAACAGGGCACAGCTTCATGGACACAGCCAGGAGAGGTGCACTTGACACTGAGGGCACGTGCTGTGAGGGGCGCAGGCCTCACGCTGCTCAGACACGGGCAGCGGGCAGAGCGCGGCGCCACCAGGGTGAGGACAGCAGCTGCCTCAGCCACCAGCCCATCGAGGCAGGCCTGCAGCAGCAGTGAGTTCCAGCCAAAGCCGCCCCGCCACGTCACTCACTGTCAACTCAAACACAATTGCTTTTCTGGTTTTGCTCATCCTTCACGTGTCATCGGTTTGGGTTTGTACAGAAATATAATAAGCATATAGGTTTTAGATCTACAGTAATGCTTGTTCCTAGTTAAACAAATTAAAGTAACAATGTGTTAATAAGTCAGCAGTTACATTCTGCTAGCATTTTTTTTTTTTTGTCTTTTGTCTTTTTCCGTGTCCGGCAACGGATCGCAACCGTCAGTGTTGCCCCCGTACCGGACCGGGGACCGGCAACGGGATCGCAACCCTCGGCGTTGCT